AGGAACATCTTCGGACGACAGACTTCTACACTCACATTTACGCTGGAAACGTATAGTAAGATTACCGTAAGAAAAATCGCTTAAATTAGTATAAACGGATTTTCTAATGTAAATAAAATGTTATGACCAGAAGATTCAAAATTCTGCAAGCCCTGGAAACACTTAAACGATCATCTCGCTATCATACTTTCGCGCCTCAATATAATAAACACCTATTACGAGGCTGCTAACAATGCTGTAGAATTAACTTGGCCTAACTGCATGCATAACCATGACATATTTTAAAGATGAAAGAAAAACATCTTCAGAGTAACCTTTAAAGCCATTATCGCTTAAGACATGAATGCTATCGGTTTATTGACAAAGTAACGCTGACAATGGTCAGACGCAAAACAACGACAAGCTCGAACATGTTTTTGAAAGTAATGATACAGCAAGGGTTTATCAGCCCTGAAAGTAAAAAGTCAACTAATGACACGAATCAGCGACTAGCATATTATGTGGCGGAAGAAAATAAACTGTCTAGTCAACAGTGAGCATTTCCCTTTCATTGAACCATAAACACCTAAATTCAAAATACAAAATATTGAACCCAGGGGGGATCCTACAGATTTGTATTTCTGCTATGCAGATAACGAACGAAATACGCAAATCGGCACCTACACGACGGATCAGCGTGTGACATGCGATTTAAAGTATCATCATCGCTACTCAGCGTATCCCTCTAATTTCAAAACCAGTCTTGAACTGTTTTGAATATGTGGAGGGGGATGTTTGGTGTTGGAAGCCACGGTGTTGCAGCGAACTTCACTGCTCTGTAAATGTCATATCAGCGAATTTAGGCGGGCATTCATTTGGATTTTGTGGAAACATAATATATCATGCATAACGACACTTCTCGAAGACTAATGATTATATGTCTGAAATCAGAAACAGCACGGGTGTTCAACTGAAGCACACAATAATCATTACCATTATCGTATTGCTCCACCTTATCGCTCGAGGAATTTTCATTCTGAAACACACCCAATGAAAAAACTATGGCAATTCAGATATTCGAGATGTTGTTACCTCGTCTTTAGAAAATGGATCTTGATTCAGCATTTGTTCATCAGAACTCCTCAGTAGATTGGGAATGCTTATTCCCTGCATGACAGTACTCGGCTGCATACCGTACTCCTGCAAGTCAAAGTAACAGTACAAGGAAAACAGAATAACAGATACATGTAAAAACTGGAGCAGTTTTTAAATCATATAAGTTGAATGTTTATTAAAAGTAAGCGGTATAGCAAATATGTTCTCATTCCAACCAAATCAGAGCTGATGTCGTAGAGATCGACCAACGACTAAAATTAGTGAAATATGCTGCAGTACCCTTTCTAAACAGCATGAGCAACGCTTATCATAAACACAGAGCTAATGGAATGGCATGGCAATGATAATCAGTCGATGTAATGGCGAGGTAGTGTCAATAAATCCGGACCAAGTCCACCGTATCCAATAAAGTCTTGAAAGAGGGGCTAAGCATTTCCAGCAGCTGCTCAATAACGCTCCTCCAGGTTCCTCATTTGAAAAGGTTAGTTGTTTATCAGTACTAGAGGCTAGTCCTGATGCTGCCTGTACATGGGAGCCTACTTTGTTAGCATGTTTGGTTAGTTCGTAGTGAATGATCGACGGAGTCCTTAATCGTTCAAAAATCATTCGCGTGAAGATTTCATATTTCTAACACTAATAGGAGCGTCATTTCCTGGTAAGTGGCACAGTCGACCGATTCCTATTCTAGAAGAACAGCATCATTACGCTTTTCTTTCACGGCGATTAAGGGATTACCAACTTTCGCCAGATACGGTCAAAAGCCAGGCAGATTCAGTGTTTGAATCAGTCCCCTACAGCATAATTTGATTAAATACATCGCAGAACGAGGTGGCAAATCTTGAAAAGGTTTGAAATACTTAAATATAGCATTTATATTTTTAATAATCAGTTAAGTTTAATTTCTAGTTATTTTAACCCATAAGGCATACGAATTGAAGGTTAACAAATAAACGACAGGAAAATGGACTAATTGTTGCAAAAATATTATACGTA